CAGCCTCACAAAGCATGAGTCCTTCCGCAGCAGACTGAACCCAATGCTTCATAGAAACTCTAGACTACGATCTTCACTGATCTTCAGCTCATCCAAGTTTGAGCAGCACAGCTCTCTGGTAGCGAAAACTGTCTCAAGTCACGACGAAGAGGACGAGACAAATCCCAGTAAAACCACCTCTATCGTTGCTCAGATTTTGGAAAAGAGGAGATCCATGTCAAGAGAGCCATTTGACTGGAGCAGTCACATAAAGCTAGATGCAAAAGACTCAGCCCTTACAGAGACTCCACAGACACAGGAGTCATCTAAAGTTCCCTCTAGTGAAGGAGAGATGAAGGAGCCGTTACCCAAGGAAAAAACTGAAGCCACACCACCAGTGGAGCCTCCAAACCCTTTAAGCAGTGCAATAAGCTTGAATGATCCTGAGAGCAGGCTTCAGTACTTTAAAGAACTCGCTGCCAAACGAAAGGCATCAAGGATGGCAATAGAATCCGCTGTCAGAAGCCCAGAGCCTGCTCTCAAAAAGCCAGACCTCTCAGACACTCCACCAGATCTTGCTCCCCAAAAATCAGCCATTGTTGACACACTGACAAAACCTAATTCCTGTAAGCCAGAAACAGCAGAGATGGAACCTGAAACATCAGCAATAACTCAGACATCATCGGAAGTCTTTAAAGAAGATGAGCTTCAGTCTGTAGGGCAGAGTGAACTCAGTGATGCTCCAGAGGTGCCAAACAAAGAAGCTCTGCCGTCCAAGCCAACAAAATCATCCCCTTCTCCCAAGTTCTTCAAAAAAGATTTACTGAATCCTTTCAAAAGTCACTCTCGACGCATTTCTGGCGACGAGAAGATGTTCACAGATGCCACGGATGCCGAGAAGAGTGAAATGAAGAAAGCTACCGCCACAAGTGGAGAGTCGGGGGGGAGGCTGACTAGGAGGCTCGGCTCCACCAGCTCGCTAAGTTCAGAAGGGGAAGGCAAGCAAGACACGAAGGCAAAGGATTTTCTGAAAAAGCAGAAACAAAGACTGAAGGACTTTCTTGGAACGAAAAGTGACAAGAAAGCTGTGGCAGCCGCTGAGGAAAAGGCAGGTCAGGTAATCTATACAGTCAAAGAAGTATCAGAGAATCCCGCTCAAAACGTTTACCCAGCATCTGACAGCATCGCAAAGACGTCACAAGGTGACAGCAGCATAGCGGCAACAGGGAGTAAGGCGGAGAAAGTCAACAAAGCAGCCTCCAAAACAACCCGGCCTGGTTATCAGTCCTCCACTAGTAGCATGCTCTATAGCAGTAACCTTCGCGATGATACCAAGGTTATTCTAGAGCAGATCTCTGCAAACAGCCAAAAGAACAGGATGGAGCTGGCCAAGCAGCCACCTGACAGCGTAGAAAAGGCCAAAGAAGGGGAGGGGAACGTGCAGAAGAATACGGAGCCAGATCCATCCAATACTTACCAGAGCAGGAACCGGTTCCAACGTACCCAAGCCAACAGCCATGAAAGAGACAGTATCCTGAAGAGGATTGAGAGCTTGCGCAAAGAGAAGAAAGTCTACAGCCGCTTTGAGGTACTGTAGAGAAGCTAGGATGTGCTATTTGTTTTCAGAAAACTGAATTTCTGGGGGCATCTATTTTATGTGCTATCACTCCAAAATATGAAGAAAAAAAACATTGCAAAACACATTTTACATCTTTGCATAAAATGAATCATTTTTAAAAAATCAATTATAGTATTTGTTTCATTTAGTATTTCTTTTGATACAATTTTTATACAAATTATTAAACAATGCATATTCTGTATAATTGAAATGATTGGTTGATCACTTGACAGAGGATAGTACAGTCTAGTTTGCATGATCTACCGATAAGTCAGTATGTCAGGATAGCTGAATGTTCTCCAACTTATGTTTTCTGTATGTTAACAGATGGGAAATACTCTTGGATAATGAAACAGACAGGAAACAACTGCTAAGTTCCTGTTGACTACTTTGCTACAATAAGCTTGATTTGGGGATCTGAAGCGGAGGCTGCCTTGGATCTTCCATCTCAGAAAAACACAACAAAGGCCCATGTATTTAGTGCAGAAGGAGATCTACTCAGGACCTATTCCAGAGCGTCTGCCCTACAGCAGGATTAGCAGCAGAATAACAAGCGGCAGGCTTGCTGAAAAGAATGTGAACGAGACAACTCTACAGACGCAACACTGGCAGACAAAAGATTTTCCTTCCTTTTCGCCATCTTTGTGTCTTTCAATGTCACGGTTCTGTCGTCACATTCGCTTAATCACTGCAGCCATATCATTTTTATTTTGCAGCTGGCTGTGTGCAGTTTTTGACATCTGAAACACCAAAGCAAAAACAGAGAAATTACCTAACATCCTGACATTGTGAACAGCAGCAAAGCGCTGAGCCATTACCTACACTGTGCCTGCACTGGTACAGGATGCGAGCGACCAAAGCCGTGCAGTTAGCCAACATGGCCGCATCTCGAGGCCCAGAGTGCTCTGTGGAAACGTGGCCATAATAATGCCTACAGACCTGAATGAAATGTGGACAGTGAGCCATGGATCTGTTTGCTGTTCCAGACTACAGCCTGCATCCCAAAAATCTGAATTTGAATGGGAAAGGAGGGAAAACATAAAGAACAGAAAAGACAAAAGAATGAGAATATATTTCAAAAAGGAAACAACCATTTCATTTTCTCAGGTGAGCTTGACTGTGTAGGGTTAAAGCCCTTGTTTTTATCTGACAAATGAAACATGTACTGACTATCCAGCTGACGCTGATCAGTAGCATTTGGTGACTCAGGGTGCATTTGTAAGAATCCTGAAGCACAGTCTATAAAACAGGGATGTAAGCAGCCACACAAGGTGATTTACAAAGAATGACTTGATCTTACTTTGTACAAGTACTCCATAGTCCAACAAAAGAACTACGCACGTCTGATCATTAAATGATTACTGTTTCTATACATTCTGGAATTTCTTACACGGCTGGGCAGTACATCAAATAGTAGCAGATTAAATTCAGTAATTTCCTCAACACTTAAGTGCCTTTATATGTTATTTGTACTATATTCTGTGCACGTACATGATTTCCTTTGACAGATGTGGAAAGGGAATTCAACACAGGAGTTATGTTTTAATTGTATTCCATGTCAGCTGTATTAAAATATGCTAATTTCTTACGTGTCTGAAAATGTTATTCCTCGTAACCATTTCACAGATATCAGAATCCTTTAATGACACAAATCACAACTGTACAGGTTCTGAAAAATATCATTTTAACTCCGCATCAAACTGATTTATTGTTTTATCACTTGATATTGGCTGAATGTAGCACCACTGAGGACCCGCTGTCTCTTGTTAACTTGGCAAAAAGACAGCTGGTGAGCAAAGGTGATCTCATGAATTATTCTTTTTTTTAAAACCCCATTTTCAGTGTTAGAACACAATATATGGAAGAGGAGAGTACACATACAAGGCAGACACAGTTATGGAGGCTAAAAATCAAAGGCTGCCAGGTTAATGGCCAAAAGGAATCCTTAGAAACATGTAACTTTAAATGCTACAGCAAAATGTCCTGTCATATAAACTATTAAAATGTTCTCAAACGACCAAATAACAATAGTGAATGGAGAAATATTTAGCAGGCTTGTAATGTTGTGGAAAATATGATTGTTTTGAAGCTGTATTTCCTACTTTTGTCATGTAATTCAAGCGGACTAAAAAGACACAGGCCAAAGATGTGTTTGTGTAACATTCTCCAGATGTGTTGAAACACTATAGTGTATGAAGTGTGGGAAGGTGGTCCCGGTACAGGTCGGAAATGTGTTATGGTTTACTGCTTGCAGCGAATAGTCAAACTTTGTGCACTGAAATACAAACTATAGTGGTGCCTTGACTTACGAGTATAATTCGTTCAGTGACGGAGCTTGTAAGTCAAATTACTCGTATGTCAAATCAATTTTCCCCATTGAAATAAACTGAAATGCCATTAATCAGTTCCGGACCACCCAAAAACACCGCATTTTATGTAAATAGCTCGTGCCTTCTCGCAGATTATAGCCTCTGTTACGGTATACCCTGCAAGCTGCTTCTCCGTGAACCACACCATCAGCAGCTCCTTCATACTTTCATGGATAGGTGTCGGCTGTTCAGAAAATATTTTAACGCCTTTGGTTGGCGTTATAGCCTTTATCGACTCCTTCTGCTTCAGTAAGGTGCAGATTGTAGAAGTGCTATGCTCGTACTGCTTCGCCAAGTCGACTACACGCACACCTTGGTCATGTTTTTCGATAATTTCTTTCTTTAATTCAATGCATATCATCCGCTAATTCTTCTCAGCAGCCCTTCGCACTCACTTTCTTCGGACACATGGTTGGAAAAACGAAGTTTTGCAAAATAACTGCAAGCACAAATGCTAGCAAAACACTGATGCTTCCATTGCGAGCTAAGCGCTTAAAGTGAACGACTGAGACACCGGATCCTGGGCGGATGTTGCGGTGTGCACTGCGCCAACTAGCGGTGGGGTATATAAAGCTGGCTCGTAACCCGAATTTTAGCTCTGAACTCAACAAAAATCGGCCGAGAGACGGCTCGTATCTCGAAAAACTCGTTAGTTGGGGCACTCGTAAGTCAAGGTACCATTGTACATGAAAAACGTGAGCGAAGCTGTTTTTATGTTTTTCTATTTTTCAATACAATTCTTCAATACGTACCAATGTTTCCGAATGCTAAAGAATTTTGCTGCTGAATGGTCAGCAGTGACATCAAAAAAACACGGCAGGTAAAATGAGTTACCGCTTAGCAATATGCTTGGTTGTGGCTGAGCGGTGGGTTAAAGATCAACCCGTAGGTGGTGCAATAGCACCAGAAACAGCAAAGGCACCCAACCAAAACTAATTAAACAAAAAAAATAACCTACGGCCAGCTCAACACGTGTAAAATGATATTAAATATTTTAGTTCTATAAACATAAGATGAATAAATTACCAATAATGTCTGAATTTAAATCAATTTTATTTCATAAAGTAACAATACAAGGGAAGAGCTGTAAACTGTTTTCCAATATTCATAGACGTACGGGTAAATTATAAACAATAACACGTGCTACGTTGCTTTACTGCTTTGGATACCACAAACCATCCAGCTATTCCAGCTATTCATGTGGTCCATTATGAAATTTTGTGGTGGTGCAAGACAAAAACATGTCTGGGCTCCTTTCATTTGAGATGTTGCTATATGTGCTAACGAGAACAACTCCTCCTGGGTTTGCTTTTGCTTGGCGAACTGGAATCCATGAAGCTGCATTCTGCTTTAAGCAATGTGAGGAACAAAGGCCTGCTGAATGTGGGCCTCCGCTGTGTCTGCAGCGCCCCCCACTGGCTGCTGCCCATTGGCCACTCGCTTTAGCTCCTCCTCAAGAGAATTAAGTTGTGACAGCCGCAGCTCTTCTGCTAGCATGAGAACAAGACAGTCTCAGTGGTTCCTTCACTTCACTGAATAAAATGAAAGTATATAGACCAGGGGTCTCAAACTCCGGTCCTGGAGAGCTACTATTGAGTCGGTTTTCTATCCTACCTGGCTTCTGATGAGCCACACCTGTTCTCAGGTAAATACCAGGGCCAGGTGTGGCTCATCAGAAGCCAAGTAAGATAGAAAACCTACTGGATAGTAACTCTCCAGGACCGGAGTTGGAGACCCCTGGTATAGACTATAACTGATGGAGCCAGAACATAAGGACAATAACACAAATCAGAAGAAAGGTACAGTATGGGACGGGAAGGGCCCTTGCCTGCTTTTAGCAACTGCGCTGTGACTTTCTGAAGCCTCTCTATTTCTCCAGGTAGCTGTTCTGGAGACTTAAAGATTACACATATAGAGTGGACATCGCTAAACTGTAACAAGTTTGGGAATTTTACTTTCTTTCTTTAAAAATATGATCCTAATTATCAATATTAAAACATGAACATATTACTGAATCTTCGATGGAGATATCAAAACAACAAAAATGGGAACTTCTTAATTTTTCAACTGCCTGTCATGGAGGGCATGACAAATGATGAGTGTGCCTTTTCATGTTAACCATACTGATTTATATGCTGCATTATCGGCTGGGTCCAGATTAACTTGCAGTTCGGTCCACATTGAGACCACGATCCAGATTTTGAGAACCCCTGATATACAGGTGCTGGTCATACAATTAGAATATCTTCAAAAAGTTGATTTATTTCACTAATTCCATTCAAGAAGTGAAAATTGTATAATGTATACATTCATTCCACACAGACTGATAACTAATGAAAACCCCAATTCAGTATCTCAGCAAATTAGAATATTACTTAAGACCAACACAAAGAAAGGATTTTTAGGAGCCAACTGAAAAGTATGAACATGAAAAGTATGAGCATGTACAGCACTCAATACTTAGTTGGGGCTCCTTTTGCCTGAATTACTGCAGCAATGCGGGGTGGCATGGAGTCGATCAGTCTGTGGCACTGCTCAGGTGTTATGAGATCCCAGGTTGCTCTGATAGTGGCCTTCAGCTCTTCTGCATTGTTGGGTCTGGCATATCACATCTTCCTCTTCACAATACCCCATAGATTTTCTATGGGGTTAAGGTCAGGTGAGTTTGCTGGCCAATTAAGAACAAGGATACCATGGTCCTTAAACCAGGTACTGGTAGCTTTGGCACTGTGTGCAGGTGCCAAGTCCTGTTGGAAAATGAAATCTGCATCTCCATAAATTTGGTCAGCAGCAGGAAGCATGAAGTGCTCTAAAACGTCCTGGTATACAGCTGTGTTGACCTTGGACCTCAGAAAACACAGTGGATCAACACCAGCAGATGACATGGCACCCTAAACCATCACTGATTGTGGAAACTTTACACTGGACCTCAGGCAATGTGGATTCTTTGCCTCTCCTCTCTTCCTCCAGACTCTGGGACCCTGATTTCCATTTTCATCAGAGAACATAACTTTGGACCACTCAGCAGCAGTCCAGTCCTTTTTGTCTTTAGCCCAGGCAAGACGCTTCTGACGCTGTCTGTTGTTCAAGAGTGGCTTGACACAAGGAATGCGACAGCAGAAACCCATGTCTTACATACGTCTGTGCGTCGTGGTTCTTGAAGCACTGACTCCAGCTGCAGTCCACTCCTTGTGAATCTCCCCCACATTTTTGAATGGGTTTTGTTTCACAGTTCTCTCCAAGGTGCGGTTATCCCTATTGCTTGTACATTTTTTTCTACCACATCTTTTCCTTCCCTTCGACTCTCTATTAATGTGCTTGGACACAGACCTTTTGTGTCTTGCCCTCCTTGTGCAAGGTGTCAATGGTCGTCTTTTGGACAATTGTCAAATCGGCAGTCTTCCCCATGATTGTGCAGCCTACAGAAATAGACTGAGAGACCATTTAAAGGCCTTTGCAGGTGTTTTGAGTTAATTAGCTGATTAGAGTGTGGCACCAGGTGTCTTCAATATTGAACCTTTAACAATATTTTAATTTTCTGAGATACTGAATTTGGGGTTTTCATTAGTTGTCAGTTATAATCATCCAAATTAAAAGAAATAAACACTTGAAATATATCAGTCTGTGTGGAATGAATGTATACATTATACAAGTTTCACTTCTTGAATGGAATTAGTGAAATAAATCAACTTTTTGAAGATAATCTAATTATATGACCAGCACCTGTAGAGTATCAAACATACATGTGTCACCTACACTGTCAGGAAAAAGGGTGCAGCCCTGGTACAGTTTTGCTCCCCAAGGTACAAACAACACTAATGTACCCCCAATGCTAAAAAAATGTTCCTGAGTCCATTTCTGTACCTTACATTAAATTCTAAGGTACATTTACCTACAGTTACGATACAACTGGCAGACCCTTGAGGGTGACAAGTAACTGTATCCTCAAAGGTACAGTGTATTTCGGACAGTGTATATAAACCATTTATGCAGCTTATGTTGATTCTTCCAAAATAGCTATTCATCTTTTTGTCCTAAGGCACAACTTGAATGCCCCAGAATTAACATGTAATTTTTCCTTAAGTGCCCATTTCTTTAAACAGTAACCTGGAATCCCACCCGAAACTCACATAAACTGAGTAGAGGTGCTTGTGCTGGGCCATCAGCTGCTGAAGCTCACCTTCAAATTTCATCCTGTGAAAATTATTTTGAATACTTAATATTATAGCTCTCTGCTGTATAATCTTTTATCAGCTTTTCAAGATATTTGGTCAAGCTCCTGTTACGCATCAAAAGATCAATATTTTTCACAGCTAATAACTTCACATAGTGTAACACATATAGCTTATGTCCCTTTCACATATTAAGACATACCCACATATATACCCAACAGTAATTGTCTCAAAGAAAAATAAATGAAAATGATTCTTCTAACAAAATGAGGATGTTAGAAGAGCCTGTAACATTACATACTGACCACCTTATATTAACACATCCAGAGATGAACTATGGATGACAGCAGCCCTGACTGGATTGGCAGTTGCTGAAATTAGCTGTTGCCTAAAGAGTACCGTAGTTTCCTGTGTTTCAGCTTCATCTCTTGTATTTGAAAGGTATACTGCTGAACAAGGTCCTCGGTCTCACTGCTCAGCTGCTGTTCTCTGCAAGGAACAGCAAGGATCCAGAACTAATCAGCAACAATCCCCATAGACTATAAAACCAGAGGCAAGAGCCAGGAGAGACACAAAGCACCTGCTGTCCATGTACAAACAGCACTGTGCCTCATTTAAAATATTCGAATGGTCTCAGGCTGACAAAGGTAAGCTAAATTACCGACTAGTCTTTTCAATAACTTGATTTACAATGAGAAACTGCTGCGTGCTGCATGTAATATTCTCATTTATAACCACATGCTGTAGCTACAATGCAAATGATTACCTCTTTAAATCAAATTCCAGCTCCTCACATTTATACTGCAGCACCTTGCAAGACTCTAGAAGAAAAAATAAAAATCCAACTAGACCAGTCCTAAGACATTAAGTGTGCTGACAGTTACTTATATGACTGGCCTATCTTTTCGTTTATCACATAATTGTAGCTCCAATTCCATGACCTGACCCTTTTTTCTGGTGGATTACTGACTCTGAAATGGACATTGTTTTCATGTCCACTGCCATTTCTGTGAAAACAAATCTCTACTTTGGCCCTTAAAAAAATCCTTTGTCCATGTTCATTTGTCCTACGGTTTTACCATACAACATTGTTATTAATTGAGTTGTTACATACAAAATAAGCAGAAACCTGACAGTACATGTCAAGGTTTAACTTGTTTGGCTAGTTGTTCTCCTAATACAGATGTAATCATTCCACAGAAAGCAACAGTCAATCTCAGAGATGGATCTGGCAATAAAGATTTCTATAGGAATTTCGCATAGTATGGGTTTGGTTTTGTTATATTGCCCAAATTAACTATTTTTTTTTAAACAAATAAAGTGATACATCGGGTGTCCATTGCACAGTGAAAGATTGTGTAAGAAACTGCACCAATGCTGTACCTTCTTTCTCTTTGTATGTTATCTCCAGCTGGTGAACCGCTGTGCACACTGTAAAGGAGGTCACAAATGTATACATACCACCACACAAACTTTGGTAATCTCAATATGTGTTAAGGGTTCGACTCTCCTACAAGCATCTTGTTCTTCTTGCAGCGCATCCCTCAGACACTGGGCCTCCCTCAGATCCTCTTCAAGTGTCCTTTTGACTGTCAATGACAATGACAATCAACTGAATAGAAAAACAACTGGATGAAGAGAAAAAAACAGAACGAGATGAAAAACTTTAAGCAGAACTGGAATGAGAATTAACTTTAATGGTCAGGTACATCTACATGTACTAGGGATTTGTTTTGCCAGTACAGGTCCATACATTCACAGACAACATAGGACATAAAAAGAAAAATGGAATAAGTGGAAATAAAATAATAGAATAAAACAGATTTGAGTATGAAAAAGTACTGAACAGAACCAATTCCTCATATACACAAATAAAGAGTGTTATAAACTGAGTATAGATGTGCACACACTCACTTGGAGGAGGAAGCCTGAGGTAACTGGTGCATCTTTGACCTAGTAAAAGAACATGCTCACACTGATACTGAGTGTAGGCTTTGTAATTCTGGGGGGTATTTACCTTGCTGTAGGTGTCTGATTTTTCCCTTCAGTTCCTCCAACTTAGGCTCCACGGCTGAAATAAAAATAATACTTAAAATTATTAAAGAAGGTCAAGCGACTACATGGTTCTCAGGATCCACTGGCATATTCTGTGGACATGTCTACATAATTTAAAGAGAGCAAACCAGTGAAAACTGCAAAGGACTGGCACCCCCGCCATCTGCCCAGTGCCTGAGGCAGGCTCCAGCTGCATACCCCCTTAATACTAGAGATGGGCGATCCACATTTTTTTCAGTTCCGATCCAAATCCGATACACAACTGCTGATACCGATACAGATTCCGATACAAGAGCTCTTTTTACTTTGTTATACTTTATATATTAATTTTTTTTAATCTAGTAAATACAGATGGAAAAAATGTATGACAAAAAATATTTAATTAGGCTACTACAAACATACATAACGTACTGTTCCACCTCGTTTGTTTTAAGAGTTTTTGAGGCATTTGCAGTTCAATATGAATATCTTCAAAGCGATGGCAGACACTCTTGTAGCACAAGCTGCAGCGAGTTCGCAAGACAGTCCAGGTTAGCGACTCCCAAATCATCCATTGCTTTGTTTTGTCTCGCAGTTGCGTGCGCTTTGTTAAATGGGATTGTCCAATGCCATTCCCACCTCAAAACTTTATTTTGTAGATTTCAAATCGCTGTGCTACTGTTCACAGCAGGCGGAAGCCACTGTACTCACACCCACTGAGTAGCAAAAAAGATTGAGGGGCAGCGATAGAGTTCGATTTGAATGCCACAAAAAAACACATGTAAAATGGGAAAGAGCTGTCGTGCAATTGATTGCCAAAAACTAAATAAATAACTATAGGACGTGGATCGGTCACGCATGGCCGATATCCGATCCGTCAAATAGGTCTGAGTCGGCGCCGATACCGATACCGATCCGAATATCGGTGGCCTGCTGGAGGTCATTTTGTAGGGCTCTGGCAGTGCTCCTCCTGTTCCTCCTTGCACAAAGGAGCAGATACTGGTCCTGCTAATAGGTTGAGGACCTTCTATGGCCCTGTCCAGCTCTCCTAGAGTAACTGCCTGTCTCCTGGAATCACCTCCATGCCCTTGAGACTGTTCTGGGAGACACAGCAAACCTTCTGGCAATTGGTATGTATTGATGCGCCATCCTGGAGGAGTTGTACTGCCTGTGCAACCTCTGTAGGGTGCAGGTATCACCTCATGGTACTAGTGACACTGACTGTAGCCAAATGCAAATCTAGTGAAAAAACAGTCAGAAAAGATGAGGAGGGAAAAATGTCAGTGGCCTCCACCTGTTAAACCATTCCTGTTTTGGGGGTTGTGTCATTGTTGCTTCTCTAGTCCACCTGTTGTTAATTTCATTAACACCAAAGCAGCTGAAACCGATTAACAACCCCCTCTGCAACTTAACTGACCATGTCAATATCCCAGAAGTTTAATTGACTTGATGCTATACTCTGATTAAAAAGTGTTTCTTTTTTTTGAGCAGTGAATTTTACGTGGCCTATGAATAGATTTTTTGCACAATAAATAAGAAGGTATCACACTAAACCAGTGGTGTCAAACTCCAGCCCTGGATGGCTGGAGCCCTGTGTAGTTTAGTTCTTTCCCTATTCCACCACAAACGATTCATCTCAAGAGCTGTGTGGTAATTAGTGCAAGGAGATACTGCCATGCCCACACGGGTGGGACCAAGCACCTACAGACAATTGTTGGCTAATCACTCCTCTTCTTAAGCTGGCGAGCCCAGAGGCTCAGTGCAAAGAAAGAATGTTGCCATTATTTCTAATGTGCCTTACAAGCGATTCCCTGTCTTTCGTTCTCCCCGATTGCCCTACCTGCTGTGTCCTGCCCTGCTGTCCTGCCTACCTTGCCTGTCACACCTGCTCCATCAACCTGCCTTCTCCTGTCCACCCTGCCTGCCTGCTCCATCCTGCCCGGCTACCTCAACCGCTTCGTTCCTCCCTTCCCATCGTCGTCCGGTCCCGTCTCTCCTCGTAGGACTGACTCTCCCAGACACTGACCTCTTGCCTGCCCTCCGACTACGATTTTGGATTTCCCCTTTGGCTGTGTTCATTCCCGGATTACTTATTAAACCCATTTGCTACTGCATTACGGGTTCTGCCTCCTCTGTCCTTGCCGGCCATCACAGGTGCAAGGAGTTGTGTAAAATGAGGGGAAACCCAAAACTGTGTAGGGCTCCAGACTGGAGTATGACACCCCTGCACTAAACCATTCAACCATATTTCTTTGAATAAAGAACAAAGATATAAAATACATTTTTCTTTAGATAATTTGAATTGTGTTTCATTTTACTTTACTATGATTAACAAAATCTAGAAAGGATGAGCTGTTAGAAGATTTATTTCATACTAATATTATAACAAATACTAAGAAGTCTTACAACACTTTTCCTCCTATCTACTTGTCCTCAAAAATACGCAAATTACTGTGAAGGGCCTAATATTAGGAAACGCCAACAATACGTGTTTTTGCTCGTATTTTTCGTATGATTTATTTATTCAAATTAGACTTCAGTTTGCGGTCCGTTCAAATCGTCGTTTCATGTTCTGAATCAGTTTAAGGGCGATTTTACGTTTTTTGAGCACTGAAGTAAAGAAATAATGACTTGAGTTATATCATTACCGATATCGTTTGATGTGGAGAAAAATATCATGAATAAATATTTTACCATATGGCCCAGCCCTGGATTTCCCAAATGCCTCAGTAAAAGGCATAAAAAGTTATTTGACACGAATTACTAAAAAAGAGTCCTACCTGGAGATAGACTCATTTTTATTATTTGATCCCACAAAACTTTTCAGACGGTCTTGCCAAAACAGACTTGACTTTCAGGATATTTATAGTTAAATTAATACTCCTCAGAACTGCTAGGCATCTGGAAAAACGGTTGAGAAAACACCGAACACCGCGCGCGCGCGCGCCGCACAAGCTCGAGACTGCAGCTCCGACATTGATTGTTAAAGCCAGTTTACATGAAGCATTAACACTTAAGCCAAGGCTCTCGGGTTTCATCAAAAGTGTGGAGTGAGATTACATCGGGGACGAAGCTCGTGTCTCACGGTCAATGCGTGACAATTTGGAGCCCTACCTACCGCATTCATCGGGTCTTGCTCTTCCACTCCCACCTTGTCTGCACTCCATGTGCGGGCATCCATGTTAATAACGCGCTTGCAAGGAGATAACATGTAACTTGTTTTGGGATTTACTCGGAAACAACAAATGCAATTTTCTGACTGGCTGGTAGGTGGCTATTAACTCTGTATAATTCGGGACAGCTATGAACTAGCTGGATAACTCTACTCCGTATGCTGCGCATCGTCCAAAAATTCTGGGTAACGGGACACCTCGGTGGGCGTGAGAAACACAGGGTGTGGCGTGTGAACTGGTTGAAATTGGGTGTCTCACAGTTGCTTGAGAGCCCATATCAAGCAAATTAAGATTAAGCAAAGAAACCAAACCCCACAGTTAAAACATCTGGTTAGCCTGCTACTAGTCCAAACTGCAGTGATACCATAAGCATTGACGATACGTTCCTAAAAACTCAGCTAAAGAAAAAAAAAAGTAATTCTGTTACTGCGTGTGGTGTGATACATCACATCGGGGTTAGTCTTAGTCCAAAAATATATTTGTATTTGCGACACATTGCTATATTTCGCCCCTCATATTTTAAGCGAAAAATTCTGGAAACTGTGGCAAAAAAGCAAAAGATAAAACATCCAAAACAACATCGTAAGAACTCGATTTACGTGCCTACTGGACCGAACTTGAGTCACCCATGGCATATGTGCGATAATAGATATTTATCAGTTTCTATTTAGTTATCTTTCTCGTGCAATACTTAGTGTACTTATTGTCTTATTCACCCACTTATTACCACTTCTACATGTCAGAAGTCAGTATTTCTAGGTCATATATAGTATTTTTATGCATACTGCGCACTGTCTGTCTTTGTCTTTTCGTGTAGTTGCCTGTAATCACAAGCAATTTCCTCCGAATCTGAAGCTTAACTGATGATCTTAATGTTTTGCAAATGTCACATACATTTGCGAATAAATAGCATCTGATTCAAACGTCGCTGAAAAATACTTAAATACGGTGTAAAGCTGACTGCTTTTTATCAGCCATAAAATTTTACCGCTTAAAGCCCAACTCTCCCCCCCACATCGCGCGGTTTCTCTCACACCCACCTCCCTGAATAAATAGGCATATCCGTAAGACACGATGTGTGTCAATATTTCGGTAAACTACTATGCTGTATGTTTCAGTTCGAGTAACCTGCGCCTGAAAAAATATGCATTTATTTTATTCACGACGCTTTTGTTCGAAGTGAGACTAAGCTTCCGATTAATTCACAGCTACTCGCGTATGCAGTACAGGACCAGAAGCTACTCAGGAACATAGTAACATCATTCAGTATCGACAACTACCGAATTTAGGAGAGAAAGACATCAGGCTAATACGTCTTACTACAACTAGGCCTAAGCACCATCTGCCTTTTTAGGGATTGGACATGTCGACCGTCACACACCGCCCCCTTTCTCACGGAGCATCGAAGGAGACGGAAAGGTACGCATTTCGTGAACCGATTATTCTTTAGTTTTGTTTTACAAAAAAAAAGGTACGCATTTCGTGAACCGATTATTCTTTAGTTTTGTTTTACAAAAAAAAATAGTTATTAACCTGCAGACGCCTGACTGCCCGTTGGTAAAGTCTTTAGCCTTATTTAAGCTTGTACCTCTGTAGTGGAGAGCACATGCAGTGGAGTATTATATTTTAATATATTTTGGTAATCGCTTTTTTGCAATGCTTTCTATCTAAAATATAATTTTTCTTGAATACCAGGTTAGCTGAAGTTTGTATAAACTTGTTAACGTTTTGTGTAGATAAATGATTCGAATCAGAATAATTCTAATCGGAATAGAAATTAGGTAGAACAAATAAGTACTTTATGTGGCTGTGTCGAAGGAATAAAGATATATGTAGCTGAATATCTTCGTTAATCGACGTTTGTGTTTACAAAAATGGCGGTTTTCACGGCATCACCCACCCTTTTTGACAGCGGACAAGGTCCGCGCATTATTTCTACCAGACTTGAATTATATATACACCTTGTGTTTTTCTTGAAATAACCGGCAGCAGAAAATATCTTTGGAAGAAATATATATGCTTGGGTAAAGGAAGATGAGGGTCTGTGCTCGTCGTTTTTCGGTTTCGTTTGTCCAGATAGTCTGAAGAACAGATCTGAGTTCAGGATTTACGCTGCTGAAATGGCGCGGTATTGCATGGGAATATTACCTGCTGGATAATGGATGGATGAGTTTTTCAGTTCATGCTTCCCTGTCGTAACTGCGCTTTATGCTAAATGTCAGCAGTGTTTACAAGCGCGAGCTGTTTTTTGTGCCCGAGCGCTGCACAAATGCGAGGCTACATTGCTGGGCCACTTAAAATAGATCTTTGCTGATTTAAAATGCAGCTGTACCCATAAATGTTATTCGTACCTGAATATTATAGTTATTTCTCAGTCTACGTATAAATGGGGAGCAGCAGTCCGAGGTCACATTGTTTTGAAACAGGCTGTATGTTTTTTGTTATTATTTTTATAAACATGCTTTTGATTTACAATTCATAATCCGGGATGTGTTGCAGGCTGCAGTGAGCATGTAATCCCTCGCGTTCTAGAGCAACGCCAAACCAACACACATAGCAATCAGTATCCAGACTACTCCAAGAATCATGAAATATCTGCAGTAAGTATGAAATACTTATCTAATTAGATATCATACCAGTGAACTGAAGCACCCTGCAAACAGGGTTACAAAGATTTTCTGTCTGCTAGACTGCATATAATAGTAGTGTAAATAGTGTATGCACTAAGTTGTCTGCATGTTTTTTAGTGAATGTGTGTACATATTCACTTTGGAGGTTGTTTTTCCAAAGTGGAACTCTGATTTACCACCAGTACTAGCCAGCTTATCCAGTGGACACTGCCCTGCACTGCCCCTTTTCCTACATCAGTACCATGTATCTGTGGTAATTTTACATCTGTTGTATTTATTATTTCTGCAGTAGCCACCATATGTTTTATTGTGTGGGTACCCCTAGCTCCCCTGTGTTAGTGTATGTATATTCTCTATTACTTATATGCATTAGCTATTCCTCTCATTTTCCCCTCTCCCTCATGTGTTGCACTTTATGTATATATGCTGCACCGCAGTCAACAGGAATATTATTTGATGCCGCTGTATGCCGAAGATTGTATATAGAAGGAATGACAATAAAGACCCACTGGACTTGTTTTAACGTACATTAATTAAATAACAAACCACCAGCAAAGCTGAGGGGTTTACAAACACAGAGGCAGACAGCAAACTGAAGAGCATAGTGTATGGAAAGATGGAATATTTATGAAATACAAGACATTTTATTTGGTCATTACAAAGTATTGCCAAAATTGATGACTGGGGGGGGGGAATATTAGGGCAAATTACAGTACAAATTTAGTGACTGTATAGAGTGTATTTAAATGCAAAATCTCCATTGAGATATAACGTTTGTTTTGATGTCTTTCAGAATACTGGTGAAGGATATAATCTTCCTACATTTTCTATTCTTCACCACAGGCAAGTGAATTTCTGTTTTTCTAACATGGCTATGCATCTGTGTCTGGCATGTATGTGGGCACAGCATGGTTCTGTGTAGGGCTGGGCGATATGTCGATATTTTATCGCGCATGCGCAATAATCACCAGGGCTTCAGATGACAGACGAAGCATTTGGTCATGCGCCAGCTTTTCGGTGAAATACGGACATTTATTTAAGCCCACAATTTAAGCAGTTTAGTAATATGGCTAAAATATTAATGAGGCTTTGTATGACGTCCAAAAGTCATTATTAGTATAAATACAGCATATCCTTATGTTTCATAAATGTGTCAGACTTTGAACTGCAAGAAGTACCACCACACCGCCGACGTCTTATTACCTTGTTTATCCACAAGATCGCCTCTTTTAAAAGATGTCGTGGCTGCTCTTCTTCACCGCGACTTCAGTGCATATTGCACTGAGGTATACCAAACCGTAGTATACCAAACCGTAGTATACCAAACCGTAGTATACCAAACCAGTATTATGTGGGGTGCTCCGCTAATCGAATTTAAGAAACAAAGTTTATACAGATTACTAACTTTTGGGTATCACAAAACGCATCTCATTAATATTTTAGCCGTACTACTAATCCTCTTACCAAATTATGGGCATAAATTAATGTCCATATTTCACGGAAAAGCTGGCATCCAGCCAAATGCTTTGTCATCTGAAGCCCTGGTGATTATTGCGCATGCGCGATATATCGACATGATATCGCCCAGCCCTAGTTCTGTGTGGTAACAACAGTAACACACTAATGAGGCGTGAGAAGGATTAATCTGCTTAAACCAAATCTGCTAAGATCCATGTGACAGTGTGGGGCACAGATGTGGCTCAAGCTGCCTACATGGGCACTTACCTACCTGAAGGCCTTCAAATGGGTAAAAACAGACAAAAAAAAAAAGCTTGCATCTCATAAATTAGCTTAATATGTGACATATCAAAATCAGGTATTGTCATGTATACTTTAGATCAATACAGTGTTTTAAAAAGTGATCTTCACATTAAAAATCCCTGAAAAGTTCACAGAAAAGATGGTGTTCTTGGGCTAGGAATAAAATAGAGAAATTCAGAATTAGTAAAGTCACACATTAGTGTTCCCATTCTTGGTTCCAGTGTGGCAGATATCCTATCATCTGCCTGTTGTTAAACTGCCATACTGTGGGGAAAAATCACAAATTCTCTTACTTTAGATAATACGAACCCGAAAATGAGTGATTATATGCATTAGCATCTTAAACATTCAGCTACCAATTAAGAACTTTGTGTCGTCTCACTGTTGGTTTGTGTGCATGGCTGTGCAGTGATAGTGGTATAAATGGCAAAGACAAGTTATAAAAGGAGAAGATCAGGGGACGAGACTGGAGCCGCCACCTGCAGACAGACAGATGGACACTTGAATGGAGTTTAACACCTTTATGTCCTGAATCCTGTATTCACTGTCCTGCAGCCTCGGACATGAAATGGTACGCTGACACGAACAATCCAGGGAAACTCGAATGTAATCACAGCTTGAAAAAGGCCGACATCATCACATGGCAGAAAAACAACACTCAGATAGTCTACAAGGCTGACGCAGAAACAAAAATCACTGAGGGATACGATTTGGAAGTAGAGCACGGAAAAGTGTACTTGATCATTAATAAAGTGAAGAAGGTGGATGGGGGGAACTACAGCTGCACAGTGTTTAACAAAGACCAAGCCAACGAATACAAAACCATCTCTGGTTACCTGCAAGTGAGAGGTAAGCTCCCGCTTCAGTGTTTGTCTCTGGAGCTGCTGTATCTCTGTAAGCTCACTATGAAACTACATAATCAGACAAGTCCTTTTAAATGTATATTTTAAGTTCTATTAAAGAATGAAACAATATATAAATTTCAAGTGTGCCTATCTGAACAGTACCTACTTAAATTAAATTGGATGGATATCTACAGAGCACAAATATGATCCTTACCTAGACATTTTATAACAAAGTGTACACTTCACCCCCAGATTTATCTTGGGTATGGCAGCCTGCCCCAAAGTGCAGTGGCTGTTGGCACGTGTGTAACACACCACTGGTTTATACTGTGAATCCTAGGATACTATGCATGAATATCCTGACAGTACCTTTCTGTTGCTAGAGATGTTTTATTAGAAAACTAGTTACTACGTCAATTAGTTATTTTGTTGTATCTTTTTAACCTGTTCTAGGCTTAAGCCATCGTATAAGAAGCTCTTTATCAGGTGAGTTGTGGACGAACAGGTATTTTCAGGGATTCCGTTATAACTGAAATGTCCCATCTCACTGGCCACTGCATCTCGTCTTTATTTCCAGCACTTCTCGTTGGATGCCTTTTACAAGTTGTACTCCATGGACTTTAAGTAAAACGTGCAGAAGAGCCACACAGCAAACCGATGAACAGTGTTGATTAACAGCAAACAGGGCAGTGAGTTAAGAGCTACATTTCAAATATTCACAATAGTCTACATTTCCTGCAATAGAATAACAGTGAAGCTTGCAGCACATTTGTTTGATAAACGTTTTGTAATGTATATAGCATGTACAGTGCTGGCAGTTGTGCATTTCAGTGTATGTAGCTATCCATTTTTATTTACAACCGACAATGGGCACCGATACGTCCCACTGTGTTTGCATTAATGGTGCCGATTGCTGTAGACAGTCGCTTTATCTTGGTGTTGTACTTGCACAGGATTGTCTCCTAAACTGCAAATCCCATCTCACAGCTAAAGTTCACAAGAAGCCGAGTCAATAACACCATTAAACTGAAACCACAAACACGTCTTCGTCTTTCTTTTAACCTCTGCACATATAGCTGACATGGTCTGTTTTCTGTTACAACAGTGAGAATGCCTATTTCTTTGCATTTGTCAGCATCCCCCAGTACATAATGCACTGCACTCTTTGCATTTGCCAGTGTCCCAGCAGGACTCTGGCCCTTTCAGGAATAGACACAAAACCTAAAAGGCAACTTAATCTAAAAAGGAGGCGGTAATGATTCATCAAGAAACATTGTACGTCAAACCACAGTGTAGTTCCCCTAAAAACCATAAAGATTACCTTAAAAGGAAGAAGACGTTCCCTTACTCAGTGCACTTTTTATGGAAATTATAAAACAAAAATTTAACTGCGGTATCTAAAGGCATACATTACCATTCAATGTAGCATTACATAACTATACAGCAATGGGCTGGATCTTACGTGCTCTTATATTGTTCTGAACAAAAAGTGATAAAAGTGAAACTCAAAAGTGAAAGTAAAACTGTTTGCTGCATGTCATGACCAGTCCTGACCAGAGATATTCTTTGATGTGCCACCATTAACTAGGACCGAATGAGCCAAATTCCCCCACAAATTTCGGAGGGGTTCGCCCACTTAATTTCACCAAACGAAAATACCACTAACTACTCACTACTCATGCTTGCCCTACACACTCTTATTATAATAGCCCAACTTTAATTAAATTCCCCCATGATCAATAAGTTCCTCACGAATAATTTCACTGACTGGCTATTGGACTGTAACCAAATACATTTGCTGGGAAGTTAAAAAAATATACTTTCCTGTTTAAGATAACTGTTCACAAGATGCCCTCTGCTGCCACTGCAGTTTCAATTTTGGGACAATTTGTATTAAGTAAATCAGGTGTAGATTTTCATTCATATAAAGTTTTTGTGAAGTGGTAATGAGATCCAAAGATAAAATAGATTAATAACAGCAAATAGAGTTAACCTGTTTACAGGGTCAAGCATCTCATCTAAGTCACCCTTCTCTTTGTCACTAAGCGCTGAAGAGGTCCAGATCTTAACCCATACACTGTCTGCAATGTTTGAAAAAGATCCATCAAATACTTTTTGAGTTAGCACCAACGAGAAAGTGTCTACACCGGTGGACCGGTTCCTTATACTTCAAGTCAACTAACAGGACTGTCTAGATAGAGAAATGGAAATGATCCAAAGCACTGACAAAACTAAACATCAACTAAATATTATGCATATGAATTTAACTATGGTGGGTCCATAGCTTATTTGTACCTGGAAAATTCCAGGTGATCTTCAGTGAGAGCACTTTTTAAGACCGGTTAGGTTAGTGCTTAGTCACAACAGCAAACTGGCAGTATGCATGACAAGCAATGCTTCTGTAAATTAATCCAGAAGTACAGGGCCAGTCCAAGGTGTCCAGGCCTCCCTCCAGAGTACTGAAATATTAAAACACGAGTAAAATCTCTGTAAGGTCACGGAATGCAGCCAAATGTATTCTGATGTTTCTCACTTGCTCCTTCTGGCTCCCTAGGCCATGGCCTACAATCACTGGCCCACCAGGCACAAACAAGATTTTTTTACTAGCTAACATTACTCTGATCAAGAATACTTTGCTACATCCAAAGGAAATTAATGCTTTGCATTCAAATTTTAAACTGTAATCCGTTGAAACATATCTGGAGAAAAATTCCTATACAAAAGAAAATGATTCCATTCAATCAAATGTTATTCTGATGAAAAGCGCCCATGCACTTCGCACTTAAAAGATTTTTAGTAAAATTCACATTAGAAAAATAAACTTATGTTAACACTAATAGATCAGGTCTTTCAGTTTTGCCCTTTGGTTATTTTCACGCATTTGTTTGGGAGGAAAGTCCTGCCTGCCGCAATCACAATATGATCTTATCGGACACGATTCAAAAAAGGAAACCGACTATTAAAGAAGACCTGCATGCAAGCCTCAACACATCAGGAAGCAGGGTGCGTTTCCATCACCAACGGAAAGCGTAGCTCTACATACGGAGGCAGGCCGTGTCAAGGTAGGTGGATCCTACACCTTGCCCCTGTGGAAAAACATGTGGGCACATGTTGGTGGAAACCAAAAGCAGCCAGAAAAGTCTGTATGAGAGAGACATACACCATCTATGGGGACATTGTCTGCTAGTATCAGCACAGAACACACTGCCCGCAGAGTCCATGCTCTGTGAACGAACGTGTTACCATCCAAGAAAGCTGGAAAATTGTTTAATCAGTTTTATCAGAATAAAAAAAATAATTCACTGAAATAAACAAAACGTGCACTATATGAAAAAGCTAAACATCAAAACCATTCATGATACATTTCCATTTGCACTCTTGTTCAGCCTCCACTTCTTGGGGGGGGGGGGGGGGGCACTGGGGCAGTTACATCCCTCCCTGAAAAGGAGAGACCCCATCAGTGAACCACTACAGCACCGGCAATATACGCCTACCTAGGGCTGGGCGACGTCACTATATTTTATCGTATTGTGATTATGAACATTCTTATTGTATAATTTTTTTCTATATCATATTGTGATATCTAAACACTTCTTACATAATTAATAGTTATATTTGTACATTTTTTTTTACACAAATTCCATCCAGGTATGAGTCAGCTGTTGACGTAATTTATCATCATACCTGTCACATGCTCCAGAACTACTAGCAAAACAATTTAGTCATGTCCAGGAAAACTCAAAACCACCTGTCATTTTATAGTTTTCTACATATCAGTTTTAGAATATTGTGCTAAATATTGATATTGTGAAAACCTCTGAAAATAATGATTTCATTTTTAGGGCCTATCACCCAGCCCTAGTCAAACCTGTACTCAGTAATAAACAGTAGTCAGAGAAAAAAAAAAAAAAACTTTGCAACAAACATACTGTCTGCATTTTCCATTACACCCTATGACAAAATTTTCATATGATTTGTTTATTAAAATTAGGCTTCAGTTTGCAGTGCATTCAATTTGTGGCCCCTTTCACGCTCTGAATCTGTTTAAGGGTGATTCTAAGGGCATTTTAAGCAAAAATGGAGCATCGAAGTAAAGAAATAATTATTATTTCATAGGAAAATAAATAAATATCATGTTAAGATATGTCATATCGCCCAGCCCTAGTCCTACCTAAGTTTTTTACATGGTCACTGGCAAAACAACAAAGTTATTATCTTAATATAAAAGATTAGCCTGTTACAGCAACAAATGTCACTGTCTTTTGGAGGGGACATTATTTTTAAAAAACTTGGGTAAAGCAGTGACAGTCTGGGATAAATAATTAATGTATTTAATCTGAGCTCACCGCTTTCTCTGTCATCTCTTTCCAGGCAGTCAGCACTTTCTCAGTGAGAGTCTAACAAAGAACAGAAACAGTCAGGGAGCTGCTGGACGTACCAGGCAGTGCAGGACAGTCACACAGCAATGGGGGGACACAAGCACACCAGGGCCCCATTGTGTCGCTGAGGCCATCCATGAGATCCACCCACCTTTGTATCAGTGCCAACCAACTGGACAGAACCAGGACATTCTGGGCTGGTGTAAATGGTGGGGAGGAGCAAGCATTAGAACACTGAGGGCTAAATTTTTTTTTAAAAAGTTATTGTATGTGCAGCTTCAACACTGGGAATAAAGCCTCATGAAGAACAGAGGTTCAGTTCCTAGTCTAGGCCTGCTTCTAACACTGTCAAACGTAGGAACTGGTTTTGAATAGACCATAAACAGTCAAAAACCTCTTAAGAGCCAAACATCCTCAAAACTAAGAGGTCGGAATGGAGAGGACTTTCCACTGACCTCACAGACTTCCTGGTTTCGCAGCTGTCTGAAGCTTGCGGTTGGACAGACTTTTGCAGGGAACCATCTGTAAACAATGTTGCCCGCACGCCATCAGTTGCCTTGGCATGTGCTTGGGGTCTGCAGCACCGATAAGCATCCTGACTCTGCTTCTCAGACTGCCAGCTGCAGCAGTCTGCACTGCCACAGCGGGCATCAAGTCTGGAAGGCTGCTTTTGGGCAATAGCAGAAGCTCCAGTATCTACAGAGCAGGCCACCATAAGAGGGAGAAAGTCCTATAAAGTCATTAAGCATACAGACTTCGTGGAATGAGATCAAAGGACATTTGATGGCTTCAGCTGGGGGTGAAAGTAATTCCTATTCCAGTGGATTAAAGAGTAAGGCAGCCTTCGCTGTGCTTCAGTGCAGTGGGGGCGGTGGCACACGCATGCACTGGAATATGTAACATTTGTCAAATATACTCATGTAGTGTTACACCATACAGGCAAGCTTTTCTCATGAGGCTGCATTTGACTATGAAGAGAATGCGATCACCACCAAAGCAGTTACATATATGGTAGCATATTAAATGGGAAAAACAATGACAGATGCAGAAACTTGAATATAGTGCTTGTATTTTATACATGGAGGCATATCTTGGCAAACCAGTACAGTATACACAGGTTTCAGATATCTGGATGTGTTCTACTCTGGGTTTCTGTTCTGTGGAGGGCGTGAGCATGAAGCTGCACTGTGTTCAAGATGAACTCACCCAGGACATCTTCCAGGGTAATCAGCGGCCGGGGCTCGTACGAATCATGCTCTTCTCTGATCATCTGCACAGCTACACAGACATACAGGCACACATCTGTGATACCAATTTACAGTCCATAGATACATAACATAAATAAACAACAGAATTGAACTATGAAATAGCAGTAACTTGAACATTTGTGTTAATAATAGGCCCCTCACCCATGTAGAAGGGTGCTGAGACGATCCTTTGGTAAGCAGCTGGACGGAGCTTCACCACCTTAGAGAAGGATGAGGAGGTAAAGCTGAGTGCCCACAGGATGAGGAGGACCCCACATGCGCAGAACCGTTAGCGAGCCCAGGCCGTTACCTGGACGTCCCACTTCTTGTCATGGTGGTAGACCAGCCAGGCAGTTTCATCAGGATCATCCCTCCAGGAAGGAAGCAGATCCGGATAGAGGGATTTCTGCAAGACCCAACGCAAAAGAATGTTTCATTCCACCAACAGGGAGCAGATCCCAGGGTGCTTATGTCGGAAAGTCGATCCGGAAATTCCCAGGGAGGCCCCACCATTTATATCAGTAAATCCTCACGCTTGTTGGAGATATCTACAAAAAAACTCAACTTCTGCTGCCAATATTGTCTCAAGCTTTGATTAAAATGACACAATTAAAGAAATTCATTGGGGGGGAGGGGGCAACTCACAATGTAATAATACTGATGGCGCCTGCTGATGACATGATCACAAATGTTACTTGAGGTAATCCACTCTGTACACGTGAGGCACAAGTAGACAGTGGGATGCTTCAGGCAGCGGCATTCTACTACAGCCTCCAGGCCTGCAGGGGGAAACCAAGAGCTGGCTGCAGGTTATCATGGTTACATACCACAGACACAATCACAGGCGTAGCTGGGGCAGCAGCACTAACCAATTGAGGGGTATGGCCTGCCATCCAAGAACCAGAACTTGGACCAGTTGCTCTCACCAATTGGACCTGGCAGAGGCACACAGACATCAGTTTCAAAAGGCATGTTGAATTCCATGGCCCCCTGTCAGTTTAGAGTTTTTGTTTTCCCTCGGTCAAGCAGGATTTTACCCATAATGGGGGGAAAAAAGAAAAAAACTTGTGTTTTGGTGAACTTGTGTTTCTAAATTGCTCATTGTGCACGTGCCCTACAATGGACGAGCATCTGGTTGATCCCTGCTTCACCCCATCGCTATGCTTCGCAGTGAGCCTGTGCTTCACCCCATCGCTATGCTTCGCAGTGAGCCTGTGCTTCACCCCATCGCTATGCTTCGCAGTGAGCCTGTGCTTCACCCTGACCCTGTACTGAATAAGCAGCTAGAAAACATACTGAGGTTTCATAATTTTATATGCACTGTTTGAATACATTATCATGCAGAATGCATTTTTAAATACCTTGTACTTACTTATGTTTCAAGTGTCTGCGGAAGCATACACAGTTTTGGCAAATTTAATACAACCTCCAGGTCATTATTTCCACGGACACAGAGCAGAATATCAACATACAATGTAAGGTTCAGCTATGAGCTAAACTGCAGTGCCCTTAATAGAGAAACTTTGGATTCTCTGGATTGAAGACAACATAAATTATTAAAAATGAATGCAGAACATGTTCCCACCCGTTTCTGTATATTTCAGGGTGTGGCCTGTAGTCCTTTTTGGACACTGGCAGGTCTCAGAATGCGGAATGGCTTAGCTGGATTTCCTGCCATACGAAACCAAGAATATTCAGGCTCCGAATTCCACTCACCAGTTGTTGTTTGTGCCCTATTTGGGTCCAAGAGCAACTCTGGGGGAACCCTGGGATACCGAGCAAATTCCTGATTGGACAAGTCTGGATGGGGGAGAGAGAAAAGCGTGCTTGGTGTGCGGTAAATGGACAATAAAAAAAAACACTTGTCAGCAGACATGTGATACTGCTAAACAGAGTTGTGTCATTTGATCAGTATTGCATTGCGGTGTGGTTAGTTTTTTTATTCTTCATTGCTCAAGCATGGAGTAGTAGTTTCACCGTCTATGCTGTTCAGAGATTTCAGTTCCTTGGGGCTGTCCTCACCCCTATTGGACAGGCTCTCCTGCTCCACCTCTGTCAAGCTTTCGGCCGTAGGATCCCTGCCAGTTCCTTCCACTGAACACAAGAGCATTTGTGAAGCACGGCGTAAAGCACCGAGTTACCAGTCTGTCCCTGAAAGGGCCGCGACCTTACCGCTCTCAGGCTCATCTGCCTTGGGTTCTGGCACCAGTACTTGATTTGGTAGCGGATTCTTTGCCACTCCCTGACAGACAGCATCTAGGAGGAGAAAACACCAGTACCTCCCCGTGCTTCCCCGTGCCTCGCACTATAATGGTACTGCAACCCAGGAGCCTCACCGGTATCTGTGCAGACTCTCGGCTCGTCGACAGTCGCCGGGCACACGGCCGCTGCGGCGTCCTCCGTACGCTGCACGGTGTCGGCTGTGGGACACACAGCGGCAGCAAGGCCATCATCCACATGACACGGGACTCACAGCAGTCCTGTCTGCAGCAATATGGCAGATGTCTGTGCATGCAGAGTGTGAGGGAATTTCCCCATAAATCCACTGACTGACATCTGCGTTTCCTACGGTTTTTCAGGCTCTGGACTCTAACTGGATGAGCAGTTTACACATTTTTAATTTTTTTCCTTTCAATATTGTCAGTACTCAGTATTAGAGATGCAACATTGTCATGATTTAAAACTATTTTAACCAAGGTTTATTAGTCTGCTACCGAGGACAGATGCCATGTTAGGGGTCTGCGTATTTGACCATCATGATTAGCTAAAGTATAATGTTGCGAGGCTACAATTTAATAACTAATTTTTCCTCACATGACTTTTCAGTGGCCTTTAGCTTACTCCTTAGCACTAATTAGCCTAAATAATAGACTATTTTTAACATATACATCAGAACACAAGTGTTTCAGATCGATTTTATGAAAGTGCCACTGGTTGAGTCAGAACAAATCCTTTGGGCGAACTGAATCATTTCACCCATCCTTACATCAGGGGTATTCAAACTGTGGGCCGCAAAAGAATTTGCAAGGGAGACTGTGATACGACCTGTGAGTGTGTATGTGTGTGAGGCGGGGGGGGGGGGGGCATATCATTTCGAAACTGCAGCCTACACAAATCTTCAAAATAATGCACATCTACAATGCCTGTACTAATATGAAGAAATGATTAGAAATTATTCAAATGTGTAAAACTGGCAGGCGCCACATACTGAATGCACCGAACCATTATGACTAGTAGCATTAAAAGACTGTATGGGTTTGGGGGGGGGAATCAAATACAAATATGAAATCAGCCCTATGAGAGCCCTTTAAAAAAATTAAAAATACCATCGATATCCAGTCACCCTTCTCATTTATGAGGGTTAGCCGTCCGTCACCCCCAACCCCCCCCGACAGAGGGGCATTTATTACCACTTTCTAAACAAGCAGTACAGTGCTGTCCATTTTGCATGTCAGACTGCTGTGTCATTTCCTATAGAGACCTTTTTATATAATATACAAACCATCCGAGTTATACACCCCTATGTACAAAGTCACCACTGTACGCACTGGGAGTACTGTATGCACTGGGAGCACTGTACGCACTGGGAGCACTAGGCTACATTTTGGACTCATTGTTAAAAATGCTACAGTAAATTAAAAGCTCCAAAAACATCCCTATTTAATCGTTCAAGGCCTACTTGGGAATATTTGGAATATATATTTAAAATACAATTTAGTTTTCAGTGTGGTTTTGTTAGTTATGTTAAGATATTTGTATTTAGTTTATTTTTAGATTCCATTTTAGTAATTTTATTTCTAGGGATAGAATCTGAGAATCTGATTTGAATACATGGTGCACATTCTGTACTAAAAGAGCTCAGAATTGGCAAACCATGTTTCTGGAATTATTGATGTTCACTAAAGATAAAAAGCATAAAACATTACGTCAGTAAGACTGCATTAAAAACGTCAAGTATGACATTTCATTTCAGTTGGTTTCAGAATCAAATGAAAGTTTGTTTCGTCTCGTTTTTCGTATTTTTAAAATTTTCATATTTTAAATTTCAGTTCACAAAAATGTTCTCTTATGGTTTTAGCTTATGATAACCCCGTACCGAAGAAAGGTTTCACAAGCCAGGCAAGATCCAGCAAGGCGCATTCTGTTGCTGAAAGATCATGCTGAGCGTGTCGGTACTCAGAGAGAAAATGAAAAACGAAAAGCCCACGAGGCACCGAATGAGCTGGAAGCAGGACTGGAAGCTGCAGCTACAATAAGACGACGGCAAATGAGTCAGCAGACAGAGACACTAATTAGAAAGCATGTCTGCAATCGGGAAAACAGTGCGGGGTGTTCCAAGTGTTGAGCAACCCCCCCCCCCCCAGCACAGACAGAACCCTCAGATCACAACCAGGCAGGGGAGGAGCCCTTCCTATCAAGAAGCCCAGCTCAGGCCCAGCCTCGTGGTGGGGGCTGGGTTCCAGGCCCAAGAAAGGGCCTCATTGGCTGGTTGCACTGTGGGCCGTTTATCTCTATCTGACCAGACTGATCACAGCAATAAACCACCTTCGGCGGTTAGATCCTTTTGCATTAGCACACGAGCAGGTTGGTGCCAGGTGTCCAAATGTGTGACCTTAAAGATGGCGGCTCCACTTATTTCCCATAGCCTTGCTTAGCCTCAATCGAAGGCTGGCTTCATCAAGTCAGAAACAAAAGTGTTCTGACCAATTCTGAGGGAACAGACTGGACTGGACATGCAGCATTAATAAAAGCAGGTATAGCGCACTTCCTTGTAGTAAACAGTGTATTTATTCAAGACAAGACATTTTAACCAGAGTACAGAGGGACCCTTAGTAAGCAGCCACAGCACACTCTGCTCCTCCAGCAGCCGCTCTGTACTTCGCTGGCGCCTCTGATTTTGGGAACCATTCCCGTAAATACAGAAAGGACAGTAAATGCACTGGAATGCTAAAACAACAGGGTTTCTCAACCTTTTTGACTGTACCGGCCAGCTACTCATCATTAGTCATGTAAGTATTGCCATCTCTGCATTTCAAGCTTAATTTTTGCTTAAAAATCCTCCTTACGCTGCCTGGCCGCTTGTTCCAGGGAACAGGTTAGTCATCGACAGCAGTGTCATCACCCGTCCCGAAGTCAAAATAAAACGCCGTGTCCCAGTTTTCAGTGCGGGGTGCAATCTGTCCAGCATTTCTTCAAACCCTAATTGCTGGTGTCTGTGACTGTGAGCGCATGCATTCTGAATGCTTCACTGAATGCATGCATTCTGAATGCTTCACTGGATGCATGCATTCTGTATGCTTCACTGGATAGCAATACCTCAGGTGCTGCAAAGTCAGCAGAATTTCGGGTTTTATATGGCACAAGGTTTCGGGTTTACAGTACGCAGCACCGGTCTGTTGCATGTCAGACTTAAAAATGCAGAAAGTACCACCACAGCAGACGTTTACACCTTAATCCACAATAACGCCACAATAAATAGCTATACTGAGAGACTGATGGCACACAGCGGCCAGGTCCCTTATCGACAGTTTATCGAGGTTTCTCATTTTCTAAAGGTTAAATCTTACATGACGATAAGTCAATAGATTATAAGACTGTATATTAAATGTGTTTCCCGGCCATAGTTCCATGACAGTGGCAAAGCAGCAGAAGGTGTGGTTACCTGTTCCTGGTCCAGGCGATGTTTGGGGTTGGGGGGCAGCTTGGCTCTTCTCCTTCCAGAACGTCTGCAGCTTCTTCAGGGCTGAGGCAAAACCCAAAATGCGCATGCACACATACATACATACATACATACATACATACATACATACATACATACACACACACACACACACACACACATACACACACACACACATTTACGGCCTACACTGAAGATGTACTCCTGAAAAATGTTTTAAATAAAATACCTTGAAGAGCAGCAGCAGAGCTAAAATCAGAGCATCTTGTAACAAAAGAAGTTTCTCCTGCTGACAAACTCACCGTCGACGAAGCTGGACCTGCACACTTCCTGATAAACATCAGGTTCCAAATGCACCTCCTTCAGAGAGCAGAACAGATGGGCATGAGAGTCAGGAATGGACAGAGGGAACATTCCAGCGACTCGCAGAAGCTCACGCTCTGGTTACAAACTAACAAGCACTAAATCCTGCATACATCTGACAATCCTTACACACATCATTTTAAAGAAAATTACGGTATGAAGAGATAATAGTATTTTTCTGATGTTACCACAAGGATGCTGCATTGCAATGCTTCTGTGAAAACATGCAAATTCAACAAACATGCTACTGGTAGGAACTGCTCAGGTTAGAGGTGGGCGATAAATCGATTTTATCGATTAATTTGAATTTACAGTTCAGGGCGATGTGTTTTATGAAAATCGATTTTATTACTTATTTTACACGCGAGCGCCAAAAGCGGAACTAATGCGACGCACCGTTCTTCACGGGTACATTAGCGCGGCGCACCCAAACACTGTAGCGGATTCACAAACAACCTGGCAATGGTTCGGTTTTGCGCCGTCGGACACAGACCAAAAGTCCTCATTGCAAAATCGGTTTAAAAACTGTTGCAACCAAAGGAAGCAGCACGACAAATTTATTCCAGCACCTAAAGCAGAGGTACACAGCGGAGTGGGAGAAGTGCAGCTCCCAGTGAAATGAAAATAGCCGCAGCACCAGCACAATATCCAAAGTTAAGCAAGAAACCGTCCCCGACACGTTTTCGAACTGTGTGCCATGTGATAAGAATGGGGCACGGTGGAAGGCGATAACAGACGCTGTCGCGATGTATATTGCAAAAGACATGGTGCCCATACATACTGTGGAAAAGCCTGGATTCATTAACATGCTAAACGTTTTTACAAGTTTCTAAAAGTGTTTACAGTGGCGTGGTCTGCCATCTCACAAACATCTTTTTTGGCTTGTCAGATTATACTTATCGGTAAAAAAAAAAAAGTTAAGACTTGTTTTGAACCATTTATTTGTCATCTGTAGTTTGATTTTGAGTAGGGGAGGGGAAAATCGATTAAAATCGAAAATCGGATTTATTGTGAAAAAAAAATCGGACATTTTATTTTTAGGCCATATCGCCCAGCTCTAGCTCAGGTGTTTCACATTTGTTTACTAAACTACCCCAATATCATTAAAAACCAAGGTTTAAACGATAAGGGCTGCAGTCATACCTGAATTTCACCTGGAGAATCGGTAGCCAGGGCCCGAGTGGCCAGACCCAGCATCGTCGCCCTGTGCTTTGCGTCATACTGCGTGTAGTCACTCTTCACCCCCAAGGAGAGAGGACGTGTGCTTTCCTTAAGGTGACACATGAAACGTCTTAGGAGCAGTGTGCGTGAAAACCTATCGGTACAAACAGCCACTTTCAGTCACCAGCCAGCCGACACTCACCAGGTACGCAAACAGGTGGTCGAAGCTGATAACGTGAAGCACAGTTTGGTTCTGACAGACCTTCTTCTGGCACAGCAGACAGAGGAACCCACTGGGCTCGGCCAGGTCTGTGCTGCGGTACGCTACTAGGAACTGCAGCCCTACACGTCGACATGAGGGTCAGCAGAAGCCATGAATAATAAGGACAGACTTCTGATCGAGAAATTCCTAGGGCAGCAGGAAACGCCCCTTCTGAGGAGGTGGAGGTCCTGAACGGAGCCACCGAAAATGAACTAGGCAGATCTGTACAGTCAAGCAGCCAGAAAATGGCATGGAGTGAAAAGCTGTTACTCATGGTGAATCTCTGAAAAGAGCAGAAACGGAGCCAGCTAGTTTAGACAGGAGGAGGATGCCGACCGCTCACCGAGTAGCGGAAATTTCCTCTTGGGGTTACTCAGGTACTCCGGTAAGACCACCTTCTCCTCAGCTGCAAGCAACATGCAGTTATTTAAATTAATTAATTTTTAAAAACCACACACACAACATGAAATTAAATGCTTGCTGTATCTTTTTTCCTCCCCAAAGAGACCAATTACAAAATTTTACTGACAATGGCCTTTAAGGACAAATTGTTTGGCATATACGTTATGTTCTTTGGCCATTATATTCTCATGTCCAGTAAAAGCCAGTAAACAGCAGCCTTACCCTTCAGACTGGCTGTAGGTTTGACCGCATGCTGCAGTTTCTTCATGGCTGGGTGGGAAGGAGACCCAACAAGTACAGCTAAGTAACAGAACAAGTAAAAGAACGAATGGAGCCGCAAACGAGTAAAACAGCAAACAGCTTTGACGAGTTAACAATACTGATGACGTAATGGGGGGGGGGGGGGGGATGCTTTTAATCACATGCGGTTCTAGGATTTAAACAAAAGGAAATGAGAAGCTTCTGCAGCCGATCTGTTCTCTCTGTAGCAGGACCAGCAGCATCAGCCCAGAAGCGGCCATTGAAAAACACTCACAAGCACGAGACTGAAGACAAAGCAGATACACAATAGAAACGCATAAAACCCAACAGGAAACTAATCTGAGAAAGGGAGGCTGCAACTACCCCCCCCCCCCCGAATTAAAGTGCAGGCCCCGCGTACCCATGGAATAGCAGGCCCCCTTGATCTCCAGGAAGATCTTGTCCGGCACACACAGCATCTGTGTGCAGTACGGAAATTAACAATGCAATTAGTTACGTTGCAATAACAATAATAATAATAATAATAATGATGACGATGACACTTTATTGGTAGGGCAGCCACCTGCAGCTGTGTCCCTGGAGCTGGGGGTTAAGGGCTTCGCTCAAGGGCCCACGGACACGTGGCTATACTCCCGAGGCCGGGTTCGAACCGACGACCGATCACAGCCACAGAGGAGGTGCACGCTGCCCCCAAACGTGCATTTTCAGCCTCTTGTATATCTATTTTTGCAGCTCTTATGATTCTAATGCTTCCATTCAGCTTCCAAAACGTACATGGCACCAACATTTTCCCAAGCTGCTGGGTCACATACTGAAGGGGGGGGGAAATGGCCTCGGACGAGGCGAGGCAGCAGGAGGGAAGCCCACCATCAGGAGCCAATGACAGCTCTCCTCCAGCCTCCAGACCCCGCCCCCGCTTCACGCGACTTGCCTGGAGAACACTTTTACTCTGTCGCTTCTCCTCAGCCACTGCCCTGGGCTTCAGCACAGACAGAGCATCATGGGAGTGGATCCAGCCAAACGGAAGCGCCTCGGGGTCGTCAGGGGCCTAACGACAGGGAAAGCGTCCTGTTAAAAAGGCACAGAAAGGGTGCTGACACCTAGTGGGCATTCCCTGTAATAGCTCACCAGGGTACTGAAGTAGTGGTCGGCAGAGGTGAGGTGCTGCACATCCGCCTGGCTGGGGAAGGCCTCCTCGCAGGCATGGCAGAGATACACCGGCGGCTTGGAGGAGAAGGTGATGCACACGGTCACCAGGTGGAGCCCTGGAGATGGCAGACCCTTGTGAGCAAAGCACTTCAGATTCACCAAGGTGTTCAGTCAAGGTACAAATGAAAAGCTCCTCGCTCATCGAGACACTAATGCAAAACCGATACCAGATTAAGAATCAATGCCTGGGTCCAGACCAGACTCACCAATGATTGGCTCAGTCCGGAGTTGGTCCATCATAGATCCGTAAACATTTAGAGTCGGAACAGGCACTGCAAAGATATGGAGGAAAGTAGGGTTGGGCGATGTCAACCAATTTGGCATCGTACGATGTTTAATGTGAAACATCGCGATGGACGATGGCATCGTCGTCGTAGGCGGCAGGTTGGGGGGGGGGAGGTGGTTGTTGTTAAATAATTAATTCATAACGAATTAATTAATTGTAGCCTACCGTTTCCACTACCTGACCCGCATGGTCTTTGTTTTACCCATAACCAAACCATAAATAAATAAAGATAAGTTACACACAAATTACCACCTATCAGTCACTTTTTCCGCGGGACTCTGGCATGAATAGGCACAGTGATCTGTGTCTTTATAATGGCGTCGACAAACTTGGTTGCTAAAAAAAGGTGCAAATCTGGCAATACTTTGGCTTTAGACCAAATGAAAGAGGACAGCCACGAGATACGTCTGAAGTGGTGTGTTAGATTTGCGGTCAAGTTATCCGCGCAAAAGATGCGCAGATGACAAATTTACATGACCATTTGCGTGTTCACCATCCCGCGGAATACAGCTCATTGCCAGTGTCATCACGCACAACTGAACCTCGTAGGAACCAACCAACAGTATCTGAGGTTTTCGCTAAAATTACTAAGTACAAGCGTGAAAGCGAAAGATGGAAGCAGTGTACTGACGCTGTGACCCGCTACCTAGCAAAAGAAATGGTTTCTTTTAATACGGTAGAGAAGAGCGCATTTAAGGCCATGCTGCAAACATTTGACAAGCCGTATGAGCTGCCAGGTCGGAAATACTTCTCGAAGACTGCAGTCCTAAAGATGTACATAATAATAATAATAATAATAATAATAATAATAATAATAAAGTAAGTAAAGATGCGGAAATTGAAAGCATGCATTTCATTTGGCTATATAGTGTGATTAAGTGTGTGTTTTTCACGAGCTGGTTGCTGCTGCGGCGGGGGCGGGGCGGAGGATCGCGATGTCTATCGGCCATCGGTGATGGACGATGGCATCGTCTATCGACCCAACCCTAGAGGAAAGGTGACATCACTGTGCAGCCACAGCCACAATAATGCACATTTCTCTGAGAAATCTGTATGCTGCTACACATCAAGGCCCGCTGTGAGGCGAATGCTCAGAGGGCAGGGATGCCAGTATACCCTCACTCAGCACGGAGCCTGTGCCCAGCCGGGGGGGGGGGGGGGGAGCACCAAGGGCAGCTTATTTACATCAGCAAGCAGGCGCTATGTTCACTGACCTCTCTGCTTCTTGACACGCGCAGCTTTATCCAGGTCCGGGAACAAACGGTCTATGCACTAAGGTTAGAAAAAAATGAAGAAAAAACATTTAAACCCGCAAATGAATGATGTGACATAAAAAGCAAATGTTGCCCAAGACTGAACTACTATTTTGAGGCACCTTAGTAATACCCAGAAACACCAAGATATTCACAGATATCAACAGTCCGCGTGGCATAGCAGGTCTAAGAACAAAAAGGACTCCGGCTTTTAGAACTGATGCAACAGCAATTAAGACATGCAGACAGCAGGGGGCAGTGCAGCCACAGAAGAGACGAACACACTATCTCAAGGCGTAAAAAAAAAAAAAAAACACTTACAGAAAGATGTAGATAAAAGAAGAAGAAATGAAAAACTACCTGCTGGTGCTGATAGCCGCGCACGTGCCGTTTATAAGATTTCACAGAGCTGTACAGAACGCCAGGGTCACAGTTCTGAGGAAAAAAGCAGAACAAAAACACACCGGCGATTTCCATTTGATTTCTGCTAAACGCGTCTCCTTTCTGAAACTCTAAATTACCCAACAGAAATGCCCCCCTCACTTCTAAACAGAAAGGGGTTTGCCTTTTGATCATTTTTAGAGTATGAAGCATGTTTGTTAACAACAGACAAATCGAGTGTGTGACCACATTTTCTACTGAAACTAAGCAGCCAGCACATGTGCAAGAACAAACTAGTATAACACTGAACAAAAGGGTGTTTAAGCCCTCATGCAAGCCATTTCCAAATATGGTAAATAAATCACCTGACAAACAAGCCGGCACACTGTCCACTGCGAGTCCGCTGTACGGAAGAGAGGCGGAGAGACACACAGACAGTTAGGAGAGGCACTGGGGCGGCAGTGCTGCCCT